CTTGGAAGGCTGCAGCAGGAGAATTGCTTGAACCCAAGAGGTGGAGGTTGCAGAGAGCTGAGATTGTACCACCGCACTCCAGCCTGGGTGACACAGCAAGACTCCTTCTCGAAAAAAAAAAAAAAAAAAGAAAAGAGGCCGGGCGCGGTGGCTCAAGCCTGTAATCCCAGCACTTTGGGAGGCCGAGACGGGTGGATCACGAGGTCAGGAGATCGAGACCATCCTGGCTAACATGGTGAAACCCCGTCTCTACTAAAAAATACAAAAAACTAGCCGGGCGAGGTGGCGGGCGCCTGTAGTCCCAGCTACTCGGGAGGCTGAGGCAGGAGAATGGCGTGAACCCGGGAAGCGGAGCTTGCAGTGAGCTGAGATCCGGCCACTGCACTCCAGCCTGGGCGACAGAGCGAGACTCCGTCTCAAAAAAAAAAAAAAAAAAAAAGAAAAGAAAGAAAAAGATACAGCTATGCATAAGGGAGAGTGCTGGGAAGTGTAGAAGAGATGAGACATCTAAGGTGCAGTTATTGACCAGTCTTTTCGCCTAGAATCTTGCTCCCTACAGAGGTTAAGGGCATGGCCTTTGAGTCAGACCAGCCTGGATTCTGGTCCTGCCTCTGCCACTCATCAGCCATGTGACTGTAAGTTTATCCTCATCTTAGAATGGAGATTATAATAATAGTACATACCTCATGGGGCTATTCTGATGATTAATTAAGAAATGCTTGGAAAGTGCTTAGCTTAGCATCTGACTAATAATTCCAGCTAACAGTGAATGCTTCCAATGTATTAGCTACTGGAATCCTATATGATTGATTCTGTTGTTATCCTCAATTTCAGATGAGGACACTGAGGCTCAGAGAGGTTAAGAAACTTGCCCAGGATCCCATGGCTAATATGTGATGTGGAGACATTTTAACACTCTTAACCACTGTGTTGTGTATCTATTTTTATCATCATTTTATGTCAAGGCTTTGATATTCTTGATATATTTCTCCCATTATCTGTTTCAAACCTCTGACATGGCTTCTAGCACAGCCAGAGTCTTATCAGCTGCTGGTCTAGGATCAGCCTGATGAAACAATTAGAAATGAGGCCCCAGCAGTGACTCATGCCTGTAATCCTAGCACTTTGGGAGTCCAGGCAGGAGGATAGCTTGACAAGGCCAGGAGTTTGAGACCCGCCTGGGCAACAAAGTGAGACCCAATCTCAAAAAAAAAAAAAAAAAAAAAAAGAGACTAGTCCCCCTCTCCTTGTTATATGATCCTCTTTTGGGGTTGTCTCTCACAATAGAAGCTAATGGCCACAACAGTAGCCATGTTGAATGTACCCAGAGGGTCCTACCTGTCACTTTACAAAGCACTAGCTTACCCTGAAGCCTTGAATCACACTGAGCTGGGATTCTGCAGCACTGAGTCATCAAAATGTTTCAAGGGTTAGAAAATGGTCCTAAGAGGATGGCATAAAGAAACTGTGAGGAGGAGGTAGTGGTTTTGTAGCAGCACATTGGTGACTTTAACTTTGAGCCAGATGTACAAGTTGCTGGATTTCCCTGCCCATATATGGTAAGAGGAGAAGCAATGTACAGAAAGGATGAGCTAGACAGAATGCTTTTCTTCTGTCAATGACAAAAACATAGTGCACCGGAATAGAATACTGAGGGGCTATTGGGAGCAAACTGTGCTTTCTTGGGCAGTAGCATTAGTAGCTTAAGATGGGGGTGGACCCCAGCCTTCTTTTCTCATGATTTTGTGATAGATGGGCCCAATGTAATCACAGAAGTTCTTATAAGAGAATGAGAGAAGCAGGAGAGTCAGTTTCATAGTGATGTAAAGTGAGAAAGACTCAATCAGCTATTGCTGGCTTTGAAGATGAAGGAAGAGGACCAGGAGTCAAGGAAAATGGGAGCTTTTAGAAGCCAGAAAAGGCATGGAAACAGATTGTCCTCTAGTCCTTCTAGAAAGGAATACGGACCTTCTGACATCTTGATTTTAGCCTAGTAAGATTCATGTCAGACTTCTGACCTACAGAGCTGATAAGATAATAAATGTGTGTTGTTTTAAGCCACTAATTTGTAGTAATTCATTATATAAACCATAGAAAGCTGATATGCACCATTTAACCCATATACCAAGAATATAATTTGGAAAATCAAATTGTCTGAAGGGAGAAGTTTTTATATTCTTTCCCAGCTGTGACTTCTATATCCCAAGTGCATGAAACCTGTAAGCCCACATGCATGTGCTGGTGTGGCATCTACAGTGGTAACAGTTAATAAATACTTCTATCTCTTAAGTCATCTTTAAGCTGATGCACCCTCTAGTGAACCTGGGATTGACAAAGGGAGATGAATGGGGGTGGCTATTCTTCATGCTATTGCCACCCCTGAGCCTTTGCACCCACGGAAGCTTTAGAGGAGGAACGTGCCTTTTCAAAGGCAGTCTAGAGAATGGGTGTACTAACTTTCTATGGTTTTCTGGAGTTATTTATTTATTTAGAGATAGAGTCTCACTGTGTCACCCAGCCTGGAATGCAGTGGTGCAATCTTGGCTCACTGCAACCTCCGCCTGCTGGGTTCAAGTGATTCTCCTGCCTCAGCCTCCCAAGTAGCTGGGATTACAGGCGTGCATCACCACACCTGTCTAATTTTTGTATTTTTGGTAGAGACAGGGTTTCACTATGTCGGCCAGGCTGTTCTTGAACTCCTGACCTCAAGTAATCCACCCACCTCGGCCTCCCAAAGTGCTGGGATTACAGGCGTGAGCCACCACCCCTGGCCTGGAGTTAATCAGGAGACATCAACCATGACCTGGACTTTGGAGCCTCCTTGTTCCCTTCCAGCTCCATCCCCTGCATAGAGAAATGAGTTTCTCCTTTGCTGACTCACGTTTCAAACTGCAAAGTGGAGCTGCAGACTAATTCACAAAAGAGGGAGGTGGGACAAATCAACACTTGGTGCAAAGATGCACCAAGTCCCAGAATGAAAAAGCGACCTGGTAAAATGTTCTAAGTGTGCCTGTCTTATCATAGACTGATGTATAATAGTCTATAATATTATTCCAAATAGTCTATAATATTATTCCAGCAGACGATTCTAAACTGCTGACTGGGAAAATATAAATCTAGCTATATCTTCCGATAAATTGTATATTTAGCATTTTAAGATGAAAACAAAACTTTCAACAAGTACAAAGAAAATCAAGCTTTGAAAAATGCATGGTTTCCAAAGCACATTTGTGAGGCCATTTCAGGGAGCAATAGGCTCAGCATGGATGTTTCTTTCACAGCCCAGTTTAGTTGTGTGGGACCCAGGTTCAGAAGCAGTTGGTATTCTGTTTTTGGCCAGAGAGGGGTGGCCAAGAACACTCCCAAGAGCAGCGAAGGGCCTATGTTTGGCACCAGACTTTTAGACAGGTGGTTCCTTAGCCTTCTGATCCTGGACTGGTCAGTCGTGGTCTCCAGTCACTTTGGACTGGGGGTCACCTCTCCCTCACCTTCTACAAGAGTAATAGGTGCTTCTAGCAACTCTTCGGTAGGGCAGGGTTGGGATGATGTGGGTTGTAAACCAGGCAGATAGAGCAAATTTACCTACGCTGGACTGCATGGACCCTACAGGTCCGGGGTGAAAGGTCACCTGCGGGACGGAAATCCATAATATTGTTCAACTGGAGCAAGGGCCGCTGCAGCAACTTCTCCCCCAGAGCAACTACCATCACCACCCTTGTCTCTTTTATCCCCTGCAGAGAGACAGACAGAAGCTTTCCAGAGGAGGATGGAGTAGCCAGGGATGCTCACCTGAGATCCTCCTCTGTTGCTTGTGATTATTGATAAGACTTGAATTCAGTTCCACATGGGCCTGAACATGCCCCAGTCTGTAGAAACCACAGTTCTGAAGTCCTGAGGGATCCTCTTCTACAGGTAAGCAAGGCTTCCACACATAAAGTAGAGAATACACCCTTTCCCACCCTAGGAAGCCTTGGACTGCACTGCTTATCCTCCTCGCAAAAGAAAGGAGAGGGCTTCTTTTGGTGGTGGCCTTTTTATTTTCCTAGCAGCAGCACAGGGCATAGCCTTTCTCTTAAAGTCAGGTCATGGTCTTCCTCCTTCTCACACCAGTGCTGGTGGTTTTTGGGGCCCTGGAATCACAGTGTGGCCAGGGCCTTCTATCTATGGACCATCCGCTGAGCTCCCAGATGCCACATTGATCTTGCCACAATTTTTCTTTCTACAGTTTGTTCTCATGTGTCTAGAGACCAATTTCTCCATCTTTGTAAATGTCAGACTCTTGCAGCTTCCTCTTTTTGTTTTTAGCTATTTGGTTGTTCCAGAAACTCCAGTTGGGGGTTGGCAGAAGAAATAAAACAAGGAAGCCAGAGTCATGAGCAGCTCTGATGAATTCTCTAGCAGAGGAGAACTCTAACTGTATCATCAAAAGAGAGTTGGGGATTATCTGTTATTTTCATTGTCCTTGCCACTTCAGCCCCTATTTATTCAGTTATAGAAGTACAGGCCTATTCCTGAACCTCCTGGGTTGATCCATTTGGAAATTGTTTCATAGAGACAGCTCGAGCTGCAAGACGGGGCTGGGAGCCAGTGGCAGCATGGATGCGGGGAGCTTCAGGATCAGGTTCCGGCATGGCCTGTGAGGACTGCTGCAGACGCAGCTGAGGCAGCCCGGCTCCAGGCTCGCTGGAGGGGCAGTGTCTGGGGAGATGCTTCTCTATAAAAAGCTTAGAGGTCAGTGTGGAGTTTCCTATTCTTTCCTCTGGCCATGCTTAGATTTAGAACAATACTAGTGTGGAAAGTGCAGCTGCTGTAAAGCCAGTCGTGTTGATGTGGTTGGGAGCCTAGACCCCGAACCCCACAGTCTGGGCTCAAGCCTTGCTTAATCACCGCTTGACTTTGGCTCTGTGACCTCTGGTTTCCTCACCTGTAAAATGAGGACTTTACTGGGTTGCTGTCAGGGGTAAATGAGGCAACATACACCAAGTGCTTAGCAAATGATAAGCGTTCAGTCAGTGGTACCTTTATTCTTAGTATTATTTGTCGTCGTCACCACCATCATCTCAGCCCAGTGCAGGCGAGCTGGGAAGGCAGGCCTCGTATAGTCCTGAACACGCTCCCCCACAGGGGGCCTCTCAGAGCCTCTGAGCTCCTCACAAAGCCAAGGCACGTTCTTTCTGGAGGTCAGTAGCATTTAATAGGAAGGTACTGCCTTGGTGGTCGCTTCCTCTTGAGTGTTGCCATTGGAGCAGGGTCCAGAGACTCATTGCAATTAGCTGCTTCTGGTGGTTGAAGCAGTTCTGAGAGCAGTGCGTGCCCACAGAGGCAGATTTCAACACGCTGAGTCATACTGCAGGGTCTGCCGGCAGAGCTGGTCACAAGGCAGGAGGCAGGCAGCAGTCGGGAAGATGGATAGACATGGGGTGAGGTAGATTTTCTGAGGAAATTTCAGTGAATATCTGTTCAATGTGTCTGGATAAAGGAAGGGTGGGCATGAACATTTTTTCAACACTTACTCTTTACGTGGCCCCTACTGTTGGGCTTTGATTTCGTTGAGTTTCCTGCAAACTACCCAGTGGAGACCCTTCCTAAACAGCCGCAGACTCCGTCCTGAGTGGGTCCTTGGGAGAGGTCTCTGACTCCCAGCAGAGGGTGGGAGCTGCTGTGGAAGGGAAAGCCACTTTTGTGGGCCTGGATTGGGGAGCAATCCTCCCTCTGCTCCCACAAACACAAGCTGGGTGGATTTATGGGAACAGGAGCGAGGAGCATTTATTTCTGTCTGAGGTTGAGTAAGGTGTCACAAAAGGCAGTGACTTTATTTATTATCTCACTATGGGATGTGATCTGCTTTCCACAGTTGCTATGGATATTTCGTTGTTTCTGTTAATACCACCATGTATTTGGGCCTAAGATTTGAGGATGCCTCTGAAACAAGTTTCTTTGTTATCTCTGTGCTTGCTCTGTTTTTAAAATCTGGGAAGAGTGAGGTAAAAGTGAAGTTTTTTTGGTTTTTTGTTTTTTGTTTTTTTCATGCAAGTATTCCAGTGATCCCTCAGGAATTATTGGAAAAAAAAAAGCAATTTTGCAACTAGCAAATTTCCCAAGGTTAGCAGGCAAGCAAGTAAAAATAAAGATGATTTATTTTTATTTTGTTTTTATTCTTTTCTTTTTTTCAGACCTTATCCCCCATGCAGAGATATTTATTATTATTATTATTATTATTATTATTGCTATTGTTATTTTGAGACAGAGTCTCGCTCTGTTGCCCAGGCTGGAGTGCTGTGGTGCGATCTTGGCTCACTGCAACCCCCACCTCCTGGGTTCAAGCAATTCTCCTGCCTCAGCTTCCCGAGTAGCTGAGATTATAGGCATGCACCACCATGCCCGGCTAATTTTTGTATTTTTAGTAGAGACAGGGTTTCGTCATGTTGACCAGGCTGGTCTTGAACTCCTGACCTCAGCAGACCTGCCTGCCTTGGCGTCCCAAAGTGCTGGGATTATAGGCATGAACCACTGTGCCTGGCCTGGCCTAGATATATTTTTAATTTGTATTTTTCCTGATTTGAGGTTGGCTTTCTATCTTATTTCTGGAGTAAACAGCCTTGACATTTATTTAAAGAATGAGACAATTTTTTTTAAAGGATCCAAATGGACGTACATGCGCCCTGAGATAGATTGACATTGGTCTGCATTATTGATAAGTAACCAGGAAATGCTGTTTGGGAACATTTGTTTTCTTCAAGAATCAGCAAAAAGTTTTTGAGCCTTTATTGGCTCTGATGTGTCACAGTGTATTCCTGATTGTTCTGTTTCTTTTGATATTATTATAACCTTGGGCAGATATCTACCATTCTAAGAAACTGGAAGGTGAGAAGGGGCCATTTGGGCTGTGCCTCTGCTTCTTTTACAGCTGCTTTCTATTGATGACAGGGACGAGATTCCATAATTTTTTATTATTTTTATTTATTTATTTATTTATTTATTTATTTATTTATTTATTTTTAAGCAGGGTCTCCCTCTGTCACCCAGGCTGGAATGTAGTGGCTCAAACTCGTCTCACTGCAACCTCTGCCTCCCAGGCTCAAGCAATCCTCCCACCTCAGCCTCCCAAGTAGCTGGAACTACAGACGTAGGCCACCATACCTGGCTAATTTTTGTATTTTTTTGGTAGAGGTGAGGTTTCACCATGTTGCCCAGGCTGGTCTCGAACTCCTGGGCTCAAGCTATCCACCAGCCTCGACTTCCCAAAATGCTGGGATTACAGGTGTGAACCACAGCGCCCAGCCCTGAGATTCCAGAATTTCTTTTGTTCGTTTCACTATTTATCATCTTTCCCTTACCCAAGGTTTTTCTTACCACTTATGAGTATAAATTCAATGTCCACTCTCTTTTGGAAGAGAGAAACAGTTTTCTCCCCAGGGAAGAAAGAATATCCCTCTAAAGAGCTAAGATTGGTTTAGGGTGCTCCCTCAGACTCCTCTTTTCGTGGCTGGATGATTCTCTTTTTCAAATATTTAGAGGATGTTTACTCTCTTCCTGGAGCTCCTGTTTGCCCAAGGGCACTTGGGTCACCATGTGCTCTGAGTCACTAGCCGTCTGTTCCTTTTTCTTGGACAAACCCCTAACATGGAACATACACAGTAACACCAGACCATCAACAAAGTAAACACCCTGCTCCAGTGCTTCCTTTTCTAAACGGTATTTTAGCAGAATCAGGGAACTGGGGCATAGCAAGCGAATATCAGTAACAAATATTTTCAGAGGACAGAAATTCCAGAGATAAATGTCCTTGTCAAAGCTGAGGTACCCTTTTTTCTATTCAAGGCCTACCTAGCTACGTGATACTGTACCTGTTGGTTTTTCTATAGTGTGGAAGAAATATGAGGTATTTGCTTTTGTAAGCACAGTTAATACCGGAAGTGATCAGCAGAGAAGCTGCATTTGAGTCACCCTGAGCAAGTTATTATCAGCGTTGACATTTCTTTAACTTTGCATCTATTATTGAAGGGCTCAGGCTGTTCAGTGACTTTCTCCCATGCAGGCATCCAATTGCTGGGTTTTAAAAATTATGGCTTGCTCTAATTTATGCATTTTTTTTTTTTTTTTGATATTTTTTTAGCCGGCTGGGAGTGGCCATCTCACTGCAGCTCGCCCCGGTTACCCTCCTGCCAGCTCCATCTGGCTCGGCCCCCCCCCCGGCTTTTTTATTTTAAAATTATGGCTGGTTGCTCCTGACCATCCCGTCTCTAGTGCTATTACAGTTGAAGCCATTTAGTGCATTTTCATTTTTAAAGGAATTTAGCACTCTTCTAACATATAAGTGTTTTTCTCATTTCAGTATTTCAGGAACTTATAATTTATCAATCTTTTAACAGTTGTGGCTGAAACTTTTTTTTTTTTTTTTTTTTTTTTTTTTTTTTGAGATGGAGTCTTGCTCTGTCGTCCAGGCTGGAGTGCAGTGGCCGGATCTCGGCTCACTGCAAGCTCCGCCTCCCGGGTCTATGCCATTCTCCTGCCTTAGCCTCCTGAGTAGCTGGGACTACAGGCGCCTGCCACCTCGCCCAGCTAGTTTTTTGTATTTTTTTAGTAGAGACGGGGTTTCACCGTGTTAGCCAGGATGGTCTCGATCTCCTGACCTTGTGATCCGCCTGTCTTGGCCTCCCAAAGTGCTGGGATTACAGGCTTGAGCCACCGCGCCCAGCTGAAACATTTCAAAAGTGTGTGTGTTTAAAATAAGAATTCGATGTATAGATTTAAAACAATCCCACTTCTCATAATTTGGAAATTGTACTTGGAGACGTGTCCAGCTGAGCCTGCTGTCACTCGGAAATGCTGCAGACCTGAAAAAACTGCTGGCCTTGATCTTTTCTTTGCCACAGAGTTTCCTTAGGGATGTGTTTAGCACAGAGCTCCTGGAATTATTCTGTGAGGAATATGGCTGTAAAGAGCTCCTGTAGATTCTTTATTCTTACTATTTTCTGGGATTTTAGTCATAGAAATTGGCCTATTATTAGGCTGGTGCAAAAGTAATTGCGGTTTTTGCCATTAATGTTTTTAATTAAAAGTAAAGACAAACACTGCAATTACTTTTGTGCCAACCTAAATATTTATTTCTTTATGGGAGTCAAAGTAATAAGAGAGGAGAGGTAGGTAAGGATAGGGGCATGGCCCTGTGGCTTCTTATTTCCAAATCCAGTGGAAATAAGAAATACTTTTATTAGCCCCTCTTCCCCCATCCCTCCACTAAAGCTGCTCTTAACTGGTTCTTCTCAAAATTCTGTAAGAGAAACAAACCCTATTCAATATGGCTAGCGAGGGACTCTGAACCTACTAAACCCTCAGTTCTCAATATGTCATTCACCCTGAGTGGAATTCCAGGACCATCCCAGATGCTGGAGCCCCTTCACCCTTCTCCCTCTCCTGCCTTGGCAAGAGATGAGCACTCAAGTAACTACATGCTCTCTAGCTTAGAATTTTGGGATTACAACTGAAATGGGCAATTAAAAAAAATGCTTAATCACACTTCCCTAAAGCTGTCCATATATCTATATACATAAAGAACTGGGCTGGGTGGATGGCTCAAGCCTGTAATCGCAGCACTTTGGGAGGCCGAGGCGGGTGGATCACCTGAAGTCAGGGGTCCGAGACCAGCCTGGCCAACATGGCAAAACCACATCTCTACTAAAAATACAAAAATTAGCTGGGAGTGGTGGCACCACCTGTAATCCCAGCTAGTTGAGAAGCTGAGGCAGGACAATCACTTGAACCCAGGAGGCAGAGGTTCCAGTGAGCCAAGATCGCGCCACTGCACTCCAGCCTGGGCTACATACAGAGCAAGACTCCATCTCAAAAAAAAAAAAAAAAAAAAAAAAAAGGACTGAATTTTAACAGGGTAGGAAACGTGTGTTTTAAAATCCAGTCTCTAAGTAGCTAAAGGTATGATGAGGTTGTACAGAATCTGACGTATATTTAACTATACCACACACAGGCTTTCCAGAGTCATGCAGAACTATTCACAATCTCTGTTTTGTAATTATAGTTGACCCAGGGTGAGAAATCCTGAGTTGGGATCCCTGTTTGTCTGGGGAGTGGCACAGACATTCCTGATGTTCATAGATACTGGGCCTCTGGATGCCCAGGGCACCATTTATCCACCCAGAGCCTGACTGCCATCTCTGCTCACTTTTGTATCTGCTTAGCCTGAAGTGCCTGACCTCATTCTATAAATACCAGCCTTGTTGTTCAAATAAGAACTTCCTTGGATTCCTGGCCACCACAAAACCCCCAGATGTACCAGCCAGGCAGTCTCATACTGGCTGTGAGGTTTGTTCTGCCTTCCCCTGTGGAAGGAGCAAGGGCAAGAAAGTAGGGCCTAGAGTAGCCATCACTCACCCTTCCTTCCTTCCTTCCTTCCTTCCTTCCTTCCTTCCTTCCTTCCTTCCTTCCTTCCTTCCTTCCTTCCTTCCTTCCTTCCTTCCTTCCTTCCTTTTTGAGGTTCAGTATTTACATTCAGCAAATTTAAATCCTTACATGATTTTTGAAAACTTATTTATGAACTGAAAATATTGCTTGCTGATAAAACTTGCTTAAATGCTATCACTGAATGTACGAGTCACTGATTATGCCAGTACAACAAAGATAACCACATGTTTGATGATTGCAACGTGCCAGACATTCACTGAAAAAAAAAAACAAAACACACAGCTAAACAAAATTCACTCAACAAACATCTGAGAATCTGGGCACTTCATAGCAGTGTTTTGAAGTGTTTCATTAATATCTTAAGCCAAGTGTATCAAAACCTTGGCATGATTTAATTTCGAGTCACTAGTTTTGTTTTTATTAACATCAGAAAGTTACGGCTACACTGCCAATGCTGGGTCTGCTTAATTTGATTTAAGAGTTTAATATGACTTAACATTAAAAGCTCACACTACTCTAAAATATATAATTT